TTTAATAACCCAGTGACCTCTCAAAAATCCCCTCAGATGACAACCTGAACATATAAGCTTTCAAGGTACATTTTTAGATTCAAACTGTAAGAAACTCCCTAGGCTGCTTACTCTAACTAGTCACTGAAAACTGAACCATAATGTGTGAACATTAAGGGGAAACAATGATGCTAGAACATGTTTGAATAGCACTTCCAAAAGGGTTTTTAGGTCCATTAAATTTATATATCTTAAGTCACAATAGAGGCAAAATATAGGTAATGTTTATGTTCAGAACTGGAAATTACCATGTTTCTTTTATCTGCCTACTACTCATTAAGAACCTTCATGGAACAAGAGAGAACTGCTGGGCCTAGAGCTGCAGGTGTGCAGTCCAGCTGTTCAGAAGTCTCCGCAGGAAGACAGTGAGGCCTCCTGGCCAACTGGAGAGACACTGCCTCAACATCAAAAGGAGGCTCATCAGGTAAAGGCACCTGCCACCAAGCCTGCCGACCTGAGTCTGATACGTGAACCCACATAGTAGACAGAGAGGACAGTTTTTCTCTGATCTCCACACCTTCTGTGGCATGCAGAGGGACACACACACACACACACACACACACACACACACACACACACACACATAAATAAACAAAAAGGTAACTTACATCATTTTAGATAGAAAATAAGAGAAGCTTGGGGTGAAGCTTGGGATATAGGTCACTGGCAGAATACTATGTGACCTGTGACTACTTTGGTGCAGTGAGAACAAAGTTGAACTGCAGCGGTTGAACCATTCACCATCAAGTATCTTACAGTTAACATTTGCTGGATTGGGACAACAACATGAAGCCAGTGTGTACATTTCATTATAAATGTGGTAACTTCTGTCTGTAGCTCCCTGATATTGGGGTCAAGGAGATTTGGAGAGCAAGGGTAGAGGGGCACTTATGGGTTTAATTTAAGAAAAGGGAAATGGGAGCACTTTTTCCTTCAGATTTTCAACTGAAAACTGAATAAGGAATTCTGGCCTGTGTATAGAGAGGGAATTGTGTAAGTACCGTCATTTGGGGCATTTTATCAGCCTTTCTCAAAGGCCAGAAAATTCCAATGCTAAGTACCTAACTGGTGGTCTTGCTCCTGTGATAGCCAGGGCTCACGTTCCAGCAAAGAACAGGATGCATGACGGTCCTCAAGACTTCCCATTTGTTTTTCTGTGGGTCTTGGCACAAGAAGACTTTATTAAGAACCTTCCTCCTCTCTAAAGCCTGTGTCCTTTTCCTACTAAAACCCTGGAGTCCAACATTCATTAACTAGCTTTCCCCACTGTGATTGCACACCAGTGTTCTCACACACGGAGGACGTAATGGTTTTCCTGTTTCCGTTCTGGGGGACATTTGCACACTGGTGCTCCGTCCACTTTTTCAGTCTTGCATGCATAAAAGCAAAGCATCTTCCACAGTTAACTGCAGTAAAGGTTTGTAGAGGCTTTTTTCCCCTTCCTTTCCCTCCTCCACAACTGGAAAATATGAGGCAGATCCTGTTTACGTATGTGTAACCTCCAAAGTAGCTGATACGCTGTTGTCATTAGAGAATCGGAGCTGTTTCCCCAGCAGCAGAGTGCAGAGCTCTAAATCTGAACGCCCCCCTGGGCCCTGCAGGCAGACCCGAGGCCTGTGCAGCTTTCCCACGGCTGCTCCAGACTGGCAAAGGTTGCTTCCGAGCCTCCTCAGTGCACTCTAGGGATGACAAGATCTGAGCTGTGCCTTTATTAAAAATTGAGACCATCTTCTTTTTGCATTAAATATTCTTTAAAATCTCTTTTCCAGGGAACTTTTCCACTCTAAAATGTAAACTAAATGCGTATGTATACCTTCCACTATTTGTTCTATGAATCTCTTATCACAGTCCAGAAATCCTTTTACAAAAAGTCTTTCTATAGCCAATATGTTTGGCAAGTTGTTTAAAAAAGGAAAAAAAAACTTTCTCCCTTTAAAACAAGTGTAAACTGTACTTTGAAAAGTATATTTATATAGTTTTTTTGAAGTTTAGTTTCTAGTTTTTTTAATCTTGCTTTCTATGCCAAATAATTTTATTTTTCTTTTATAAAATGACTTTTTTATAAAGCTTTGTTTATAACCTCTGTATCTTTCATGATTTATTTCATTGGTTTTTTTATTGGTTTCTCTTTGTTTAGTTTGCCTTGGGGACAAGCCCAGATTCCCCTAACAGGGATATTAGTTGATAGAAACCATTGAAACCAGAAATGGACAGCCTGAAGCACTCCCTAGCCAGCTTTTGCTAGAAGAGGCAACATTAATGCGACATGGTTACTTAACACATAGCAGACTCCCAGTAAACTGGTGTGTGTGTGTGTGTGTGTGTGTGTGTGTGTGTGTGTGTGTGTGTGTGTGTGTGTGTCTCCCATGACCATATATACATACATATGTGTGGAAACTAGAGGTCCATGCCGGGTGTCTTCCTTGACCTCTACACACTTTGTCTTTTGAGACAGGGTCTCTCACTGAACCTGGCACTCAGTGATTGGCTAGACTTGCTGCCCAGGGAGCTCTGAGGATGCACCTGCCTTTCCCCTTCACTAGGATTACAGAGGATGCCACCATGCCTTCTCCACTTCCCCCATCTCAGGTCCTCATGCTTGGACAGCAGGACCTTTACTGACTGAACCAGCCCCATGGACCGAAGGCTTTCTTTTTAGTTCTGGGGTTGTATTTAGTACTTTTAAAGGTTTTCTTTCTTTATAAGCCTTATTATACTTCTTCCTGATAGTTAAGTGCTAAAGAGGACATAAGTTAGAGCCCCTTATAAATTGAGAAACCTGAAAGGTGACAGAATTCTAAAGTTGTCTGGCAACTGTAGGGATAGGAAGATAAAAGATTTGACAACATCTTTAAGAGTGCTGGCCAGCAATTCTTGAGTTGTTAAAACCATAAGTCTGGGAGAGAAAACTTAAAGAGATACATTTGAATACTGAATAGCACTGGTTCTTCTGTCTCCTGCTAGTTATTTTGTGTTTAATAAACTATGTAGCTATAGTTTAGGACTGGCTCAGAGGGGAGTGGCACTTAGGGATAGAGGCACCTGGGAGTAGGCCTGAGAACCAGAATTCTATTTCCAGGCCCCACCAGTTGGCCAAGAGAACCCACTCCTCTGACCTCCACACATGTGCTATGACATGCATGCACCTTCGTGTGTGTGTGTGTGTGTGTGTGTGTGTGTGTGTGTGTGTGTGTGTGTGTGTGATTTAATATTTGAAGAGGGGGTCCATGTCCTGCTCTCCTTGTATGATAACCCAGAGATTTCCATCTACCTGTGTCCTGTCCACCTCCCACCCCCCCACCTCCCCATCCCCCCACTCCCCGACATGGCAGACTCTGACTTATTCCTAAGAGAAGCATAGCTTTCCTGTGGGCAAGGCACATAGGATGAAGCCAGACTTGCTCATTAACCTGCGCTTACTTGCAGAGCCAGTTACTTTGAGAGTGTTTTTTCTTCTTCTCAGTATATGTAGTTGGCAGGGAGAATGGAGAGGACTGAATGGCCTTGCAGTGTGCACGGATATTACGTCATCCTGTCCAGGGGCTACTTACTCATTCTGTGCTCCTGCTCCTGGCTTATCTGAGTTTTTTCTTTGACTTCCTACTCCTGCACTTCTCTGTTTTCTTTAGTCTTACCTCCTTATTACACATGAATTGAGTGAAGCAATGTCTAGAATATGAAATGTTATTAGGAAACAATCACATAATGTGATAGTAACTGGTCTATAAAGATAATTTATAGATTTAGAGAATTTCAAACTAGTAGGAACGGAAACAGGGACTTGTTAGTGCCTGACCTTGGTCTAATCAGCTCTGCATACCATAAAGGAGAGTGTCTGAACTTAAGCTTCTTATGCTGATGCTCTTGACTGAGGATTGTGGAGGGCTGAACTGGACCTCAGAAATCTTCATTTCTAATCAGCTCTCCAGGCACTTCCGAGTTGGAGGCCTTCAGACCTCATTTTGACGGCAGAGTGCTATGTCGCCTCTTAGATCCCTCCTGTATAAAACTCTATGATCCTAGGCTTCTTTCCACCACACGGCTTTGTGCAGAGCCAATGCGTCCTGGAAGTGCACTGTTTCATCAGCCTTGTGAATAACTAGGGAGAATATCTGTTAGTCATCCTGCCTGGAAAACACTAAAACTGTAACCAGTCATTTTGATCAGAGTTAAATGCCTGCTTGTATCACTGCTGAGTAGAGTTCTGTTTGCTCTGACTCTCACTATGTGTTTCTCTACCTGTACCGATTTCTCGGGTGCTTTGTATCTTTCTTTAAAAAGATGTAATACCGAAACAGAAATTCATGTGCCCCTGTCCCTTTTTAATACATGCATGCCAACATTAGCATCTACTGAGGACATCGGATAAGCAGTCTAATGTCAATTTTGTGCTTTGCTGTATTTCTCTTCCATTATAGAACATTATCTAATTTGTGGGGCTACAGTAGTCATCCACTTGCTTTTGACATGCTTTCGAGGTTTCTTCCACCCACTGACTGTCAGTCTTCTGAGTTATTTTTTCCTAGATACTTGTACTTCATCCTATTTTTGCCAGACTGAACTCCATGTACTTCACTATGCATTTTTATAATCTCCATGGACCCGCTAATACTGTTTGGCCTCATGTCTGTCTCTCCTACCAGCTCCACATTTAGCGTCATCTGAGGTACTTATTAATATGATGTTTCCTCACATTTCCATGCCATTAATAAAGCGATTTAGTAAGACCATTCATTCTTGCTGGGCACAGCTAGGCTAGTCAGTGTTTCACACCTTATTACAGATCCTTGCCCATCACAATATCCAGTATGGTTAAGGATACAGCACTAACCAAGGTTACATTTCAAATTAGAATTTACATAGGAATGCCTCTTCCCAGAAGATACTTTAATGTTCCACCTGAGAAATAAAAACTCATTTAGTTGGGCCTCTGAGTCCAAGACTGGTCAGGGTACACTTACATAAGCTTGTTTGCAGATTCTCATTAGGTCTCCCAAGGTCGCAGACAGCTGTGTTTTGAATTTGTATCCTTTGAAAGAATAGGTGCTTGGATAGCTCTTTCTTGGCAGCAAGACCTTAGGAAAATAAGAAATTCACATGTGTTGGTGCGTTCTGAGTACACAGCACACACCCTAAGTGAGTTCCCAAGCAATGATGCATGGTATTTTTAGAGAAAAAAGACTTTATCTTATTTTTTTTTCTTTGTAATCTGTGAAACAGAAATGCTTCCTCCTCACTTGAATCTCTTAGGTCAACAACCAGATGCAAAAATGGAAGCTGTCAACAAGAAGGGGTTTAATGGTACATGGCGGGACGCAGCCTCCCAGGAGCCTCTGGCGTAGAGCTAGTTCAAGGAAATCGCTTTTGAGATATGGGGAGTTTACACAAATGAAGAAAAAAATGACATTAAAGCTGGTGGTGCTTACCTTTAATCCCAGCACTCGGGAGGCAGAACCAGGCCAATCTCTGTGAGTTCGAGGCCAGCCTGGTCTACAGATCAAGATCCAGGACAGGCACCAAAACTACACAGAGAAACCTTGTCTCGAAAAACCAAAAAAAAAAAAAAAAAAAAAAAGGTAGCAGAATTGCAAGGTAGGCTTTATTTCCAAGACAATACCTTATAATATGAATAACACATAACACAGTAAGATTAATTCATGAAAAATTACTACTGGGGATAGGAACACCCAGTTTCTTTTATTTAGACTCTAAAATAGAATGTCAATAGTATGATGGCCTACTAAAAGGATATTGCTTTTACCAACAGTATTAAGTTATTCTGTCTAATATAGAATTGAGTGTTTTTTAAGATGCTATTTTTATATACTGATTTAATAACCATCTTACCTCAACATTTTAGGATACAAACATAATATTGGGGGTGTAAATACTTAGTCTCACTCCCCAACTAAAAAAAGAAGAAAGGATATTACTTCTCAGTCTCCAAATATATTGGAAAATAATAGGTCTAATTGAAATGTGATTCCCACTGTAATCTTGATATAATATTTAATATCAACCTGTGTGTAAACAACTGTTGATTAATCCAGAGCAAATATAGCAACTTTGTCTAAATTTTTCTCTGGCTTGGGTCTAAGACAAAGAACACTTGTGAAATCTTGCTTTAACTAGACAAAGATATGTTACATTTGTTTATGATGCAGAATATTACTTTAACTGTGTAAGGGTGTGTTGTATTTGTTTAGGCTGCATTTGTTTAATAAAGTAAGAATGTGTTGTGTTTGTTTCACTTTGGCTGCCTAAGGCACCTGATTGGTCTAATAAAAAGCTGAACCGCCAATAGCTAGCCAGGAGAGGGATGGGGGTGGGGGGCTAGTGGGCAGAGGGAGTAAATAGAACTCTGGGCTCAAGAAGAAGGAGGAGAGATCAAGGGACAAAGAGAGGAAGATGCCCAGGGCCAGCCAGCGAGGCAGCTGCCAGACAGACAGACATGGAGTAAGACATATAGAAAGAAAAGTTAAAAGCCCTAAGGCAAAACAGAGATGAAGAGAAACAGGTTAAATTAATTAATGAGAGCTGGTGGGACAAGCATAAGCTGAGGCCAAGCATTCATAACTAATATTAATTCTCCGTGTCATGTTTTGGGAGCTGGTTGGTGGCCAAAAGAAAGCCTGCTACATAGTACACAGTGGATGTTTTAACTTCTGTTGCTACACAACAGACCATTCTAAAGTGTAATGACTTAAAGACAACAACAGGTTATCATTTACTGATTAGAATCAACTAAATGGCTCCTCACCACATGGTGTGCCAAGCTATGGCATTGGGATGAGATTTTCAATTGAGGCATGCAGAATGACCCCTATCATCTATGGTCTCTCTTCCTTACCCCTTTATTCATCCACAGACTAGGGCAGATTTTTTTACAGCATGGTGATGACTTCAGAGAGGCCAGAATCAGAAGTTCCCAGACCTTCAAGGCTTAAACCCAGAAGCTATAAAAAAAAGGGGGGGGGTTGTTTGGTTGTTGTTGTTGTTGTTGTTTGCTATCCATTGGTCAAAACCATCACAAATCCACCCTACATTCATGAAGAAATAGTCTCTCATCCCTTCACCCTTCATGATGACTTACAAAGATCTTAATTTATCATAGTTACTTAGTAAATTTTTACTGGGTGGTCATATGAAGATTGCTTTTGAAATTTTTTGTGTCCTTTGTTAAATTGAAATGATATTTATTATCATTTTGTAGAACAATTTACTTTGTACCTTATGGACAAGCAAGAGACATTTTATCACTTTAGCAGAATAGTAGATGTTTGATCTTTGGATTATTGCTAGATCTATATCACTTTTACTAATGAAAACTCCATCTAAATTTATGAAATAAGATCCTTCTGGTTTTTTTTTTTTCTTTACTGTGAGTTTCCATGGTTTTACATGAGATTATCTGAATTCCCAAAACATTAGAAATACTTTTTAATGAAAATAAGACCATGAAGAACCCTAAATTTTCAGGTAGGGGGTTACTGCCAATTTATCATTACTATGCATTATTATTCTCATAACCCATGGCTCAGCAGGAAATGGTGCTTGTTGCCAAGCCTGGCCTGAGTTCAATCCCTGGGACCCACAAGATAGAAGAAGAAAACTGACTCCACAGAGTTGCCCTTTGACCTCTGCATGTATGCCATGGATGTACACACCCATACCATCTGTGTAGATGATGTGGAGGGTTCTTTCTTTTTATTAAAGTACCATCAACTCACAGAGTGTGGAGGCTCACACTGTGGAAAGAAAGAAAAGAAGGAAAGGAAGGAGGAATAAAGAAAGAACAGTAGTCAACAAAAAGGGAAGGGGATACCAGGCGTGGTGGCGCACGCCTTTAATCCCGGCATTTGGGAGGCAGAGGCGGGAGGATCTCTGTGAGTTCAAGGACAGCCTTGTCTTCTACATACTGAGTTGTGGGACAGCCAAGACTACAGAGAGAAACTCTGTCTGAAAGGGGGAGGGGCATTTATTGCCCATTTTCTATTGTTACTCCAGAATACCTGAGACTTAAAAGGAACAGGTGTTCATTTTGGCTCCCGACTGTACAGACTGCAGATTCCAAGGCTGTGCAGCCAGGTCAGATGAGGACCTCATGCTGCGTCAGCTCGTGCAGGCAAGCAGGAGAGAGACAATGAGAACCGTGCAAGACTCTCGCATTAGTTAGTAATCCATCCATGTGAGGAAAGACCTTAATCCATTTATAAAGGCTTCCCCCCCCCCCATAATCCAAATACCCTTCCCTCATTCCCATCCAGACGCTGAGGAATGAGAGTTCCAATGCATGCCCTAAAACCGTGGCATATGGACAAAGCAATCTGTATCAAAGGTTCCCTCAGAAAAGAGTGGCTTGGGGGAGATAGATCAAGAATTTACAATGTGAGAAATTAAGCTCACCACAAAAGTAACTAGCTGTCCCAACTCTGAGTCTTTACGGGCCCCTTTAACTCTTACCCCTGCTGAAGTATGCTAGCTATTGTTTCTTAAGCTCACACATGCTGGCTCAGGGAGCAGGGACGGGTGGGAAAGTGTTGCTCTGACTTTCCCTGAGTCCTTTTATAGAGGGTTTCTCAAACTTTACTAACCATGAAAATCACCCAAGGAATGGCAGTGTGCTGATGCCTTAGTCATCATGGGCATTGCCAGTTTCATAGTGGGGGATTTTTATGGTTTGGATCTGAAATGGACCTTGACTGGGTCGAAGACTAGGTTGCCAGCTTCTTAGCTTTTGAGAAATGATCAGATCGTGAGTGCTGACCTCAGGGCATTAGTCCATAGTTGGATTCATAAGTTGATGACCTTACCGGGGGTGTAGAAATGAGTAGGCAGGGCCTCTTAGAGGAAGTAAGTCCTAGTGGGGCATGCCTTGGAAGAGGGAATTTTTGCCCCTGATACCTCTCTCCTCCTCCTCCTCCTTCTTTTCTCTCTCTCTCTCTCTCCCTCCCTACCTCCCTACCTCCCTCCCTCCTTCCTGGCGGTCTCTCAATAAGCAGCTCCACTGTGCTCTTCAGACATGATGCTCTGCCTCACTCAGGCCACAGAAATATGGCCAAGTGATTTTGAATTGAAACCTCTGGAACAGTGCACCAAAAGAAACCTTTTTGCCTGTAAGTGGTTTTTTTTGTTTGTTTGTTTTTGTTTTTTCCTTAAGTGTCTTGTCACAGCAACAAAAGTGACTATCACAGAGATGAAGCCCAAGATCAGAATTTAATGGGTGATGGAGACGTAGTCGATTTATGATCCGAATTCTGAGCAATGCAGCCTCGATCTCCAAACAGTCCAGAAAGACTGGCAATGAGGAGAACTATAGAGTTGGGGTTTTGTCCTGGCCTCCTATTAGCATAGGGAAGTTGAGGTGGCAGGAAACAGTAGGTAAGTTAATTAAAGAATTCAAATTTATGTAATTCCTTGGCCAATAAGAGGTTATGGTGTTTGTGTTGTTTTGTGGTGCTGGAGCCAGAATCCGGGACCTCACTTGTTAGACAAGCATGCTGCCCCCGTTCTGTCACCCCTCAGCCTCCAGGACTTCCCTACTTGCATTGGAGCTGGAAGGCTTGTTCTAATCTGGAATGTTTCACCAACCAGTTATTTGCCAGCCTTCCTTAATTTATTCAAGTAACATTTATTGAAGATTTTGAATGAGGAAGGCTTGTTCTAGGACACTATTTCTCCATTAGTCTTGGTGGCCAACGCCTCAGCTGTTGCTCTTTAGTTTTAGAAAAGATTCCGCTGTGGTTCATAAGCCTCTCTGCAGATGGAGCGTCATCCCAGCTACCTGAGAACATCACTAGTCTTAGTGACTTCAAGAGATAAAGGTTCTTTTCCTGTTGCTGTCAGCAGTGCAGAAGGACAATAGCAGTTAATGTGACTCCGAGACAGCATGCTTGCCTAACAAGTGGGTCCCGAATTCCAGGTCCAGCACCACAAAACAACGAAAACCCACCATAGCCCTCTTAGTGGCCAAGAAATCACATACAATTGAATTATTTAATTAACAGCTTTCATATAGAATGAATTCTCTATGTCGTGTTTACTGCTATTCCGAAGACCACCTAGTGTTGAGTTC